TCACTTCAAATGGACTCTCACTAGCTAATGATGCCCGGAATTCAAACAGATCAAATGTGTTTCAGTACATGGTTCAGAATGACTTGCACACACACACCCCACACACCCCAAATAACGATACATCTCCTGAGTTGTTTTTGGAGAATTCTAGAGAACTGTTAATGGTTTATGACTGGATGTCCCCCCAAAGCCTCAAGTGGTGGGAGGGGGCAGGCTTTCTGAGGCAGCTGAATTGAGAGTTTCTGATTGGTTCATTGTCTAGTGCTGGAATTGGGGTGGGAGTGCTACACCCATCCTAGGGCAGGTAGCTTGCATACTATGCAAGGAAGGAAAAGAGGCCTGCTCCTTTTTTCTCACTTGCTGCCTTTCCTGTCTTCCACTGCCTGCACTGTTGCCCCTCAGCCACCCTGCCTTGGATCCAGTCGATTGTGGACTGAAACCTCTGCAAACTGTGAACTAAATACAACTTTCCCTCTTTAATTTTTTGGGGTTGGGAATTTTGTCCTAACAAGAAAAGTAACTGAGACTGAAACCAAATATATATATTTTTAAAATAAGCATATGCTGGGCTGGGGAGATGGCTCAGGGATCTAACTGCTTGCTTGGCAAGTGCAAAGACCAGGTTCGGTCCCTGCTACGACATGCTATGCCTGCCCCAAAGACCCGAATACATGGTGCTGGCCATCAAAACCAGGCATGGTGGTGCACATCTGTGATCCCAGCACTGGGGAGGCTGAGAGGAGGATCACTATGAGTCCAGCCTCCCGCCTGAGCCTCTCAAGGAACAAGGATTGCCAGCTTGCACTCAGCTGGCTCTGATTAACTCATTTTTTAAAATGAAGGAATCAGCAAGATATTAGAAGCAGTTCAGAGGAAAAGCCTAACACTGCACACATAAATGATCAGGACTGGAGAAGTAAATGTACAAGTAGATATAAAGTGGTCAGTATCCATAAGGCAACAACTAATTGTACTTCATCAGGCAAAATTCATTTGTATGATCAAGAAACATTTGCGGGCAGGCGTGATAGCTCAGCTGACTAAGCGCTTGCTTAGGCAAATGCAGGGGCCAGGGTCAATCCCTGGAACTA